AAATCTACAAATCTTAGAATTGAAGATGTCATCCCATGTAAGGGTTTTCACTAGAAATGATGAGATATCAAGATTTCTTCTTTCGAGCTTTTTCACACAGTATGGTTCTCTAACCTTGAACGGTTTGCTGAGGTACTCCGAGTCAGGCACGACTTCAACAAGGCTCCAGGTAGTGGGTGTGTGGGGCGCTGTGGAATGAATAGGGTAGCCAACACCACCATCCTCCTGGAGTATTCATAGAAAACAAGTAAGCAACATAAAAAAGGACAGCCATCGTTAATAGGTAATAAGGGAAATAGATTCCGCAGGAGGGTAAGCGTTTTACTGAAATATACGTGGCTTCCGTCAATATCAAGGACTGTGAAATGTCTTGACTGTAAATTGAAACTTTGTTTAAATCCCGATAAAGTCATTTGCTGTTCTACAGGAAAATTAAAAATATAATGGTAAAGGAACAGGATTGTAGCTAGTAGCAAATCAGTCGTGACATGCATATGCCCACTAAAAGGGAATGTTCGAATGTTATTACTGAGAAAAGGAAAACTAGTGATCGTGATATCCTCACCGTAATGTAAACCGTAAACTGTGTTGTTGGGTATTGTGCCCTGAGGTAGAATCTTATACAGTATGCAGGTGCCCTGTCAAAAATCCGGGAGGTCAGCTTTCTTGAATAACTGGAGTAACTATAGATCATATGTCCCTCTGAAAAATATTTATTGATATGAATTAATAAAACCTGTTTTTAAAATTGATGTAAAATAAAAAGAGGATTTAAAAAAAGTCTGTTCAACTAACGATGAATTCTTGTAAGATTAATAAAGTTTTCGATTGTTAACTTTTTCTGATTTTGATATTGTTAAGTTGTCCTTGCCTCTTCATTATTGTTATAAATTGCATAAAGAAGTTCGACAGACGTTCATAAGCGGTTATGTTTACCTTTAACCCCCATATACGTGTGGTCATTGATGGCAGCTGTAGCAGCAAGTGTCCTCCAGAGATTCCCAGTGTCGCCTCGTTTGTATAGTTACACATGTGTAAATCTTCAAAATCACAGTACGTCAGATTGAACCGGGTGTTGGTGTCTGTCAGAAGCGAATCAAACAAAACTATAAACACTATATGTAATCAGAAAAAAATAACCAAATTACTAAAGCAGGTATCGGTAACATTTTTTATTAAGGTCATTATAACATACATTCTATTTGTTATATAATGTAAAACATATATTCTATGTGTTATATAATGTAAAACATATATTCTATGTATTATATAATGTAAAACATATTCTATGTGTTATAAATTGTAAAACATATATTCTATGTGTTATATAATGAAAACATACATTCTATGTATTATACAACGTAAAACATATATTCCATGTGTTATATAATGTAAAACATACATTCTATGTGTTATATAATGTATAACATACATTCTATGTATTTTATAATGCATAACATACATTCTATGTGTTATATAATGAGAATAGCACAAACGCTTGTATGATTACATTAACGTATTTTGACGAAAACTTTAATCTTTCCAGGTGTTCACATTTTAAGCTCATCGATTTGGTCAGAGAGGATCCAAATCCCCTTTTATACAGTATTGAGTTTTCTTATTTCAATGGTGCTCTAGATATTTTGGTTGAAATATCTTTATCCTTTCTAAAGGAGTAGGATTTTTGAAATGTGCCTGTAAATGCAAAGTTGAAACAGTTCTAGTGGATTTCTTAGTCCCGACGTTTACCATAACCAAATATTTTGAGTAGAGGCACGGTTCATTTGACTTTACTCATTATATACATGCTGTACTCATGATATACATACTTTACTCAATATATACATACCTTAGTCATTGTATACATACTTTACTCATTATATTCATACTTTACTCATTATAAACATACCTTAATCATTGTATACATACTTTACTCATTATATTCATACTTTACTCATGATATACATACTATACTCATTCTTTATATACTTTACTTATTATATACATACTTTACTCATTATATACATACCTTACTTATTATATACATACTTTACTCATTATCTAATTTGAGATTTACAAGTACACCTCTCATGTTCATATTATTAAAATTATGCAATTTTACGCTCCTTTCCGCCTGTTTAAAAAGTAAAAGTCTTAGAAGACAGAAACAGCTGTAAAGTGAATGCATTTTGTTGTCATAGTATATCGAATGCTTGAAATCACGTGATCTCTTATGATTCAATCCACGGAGAAATGACGGGGGAAAGCTGCACTTTGAAGCATATTTCAAAGATAAACCGACACATTCTTTTCTTTCATGTAAGGAAATTAACCTATCCTATATTAAACAAAATGGTTTGGTTGGAAAAGGATTGAACCATTAGAAGCCACGTAATTCCCCTTATTGGTATTTATTATCAATTTTGAAATGTTCGATCCCCTTTGTGTGAGTTAGGTTCATCTATATATAGGGTCACGCTATTCAGCATGACGGGTGACACCATTGCAGATAACATATCTATATGAATATGATGACGAAGGCTTCAAGTATCTATATCCATAACAATTTGTCATAAATAAATTATAATTGTAACTAGAACCGTTTCAGAAGTCCCAAAAACTGTCGCCGTGGTGGTAAATGATGTATGGAAAAAAGAATAATGCTAAAATACATTGAAATACTGCGGGACAACTTATTTTGTAGAAAGGCTAGGAATCACATCAGTACTTTGGAGTTATCCCAGTTATGACTGGGATAACCCAAAAGTATTGGACCTAGAGAATAATCTTTTCAAGCGGAAAATGAAGGAAGCCATCTGGATACACTATGGTGGGCAATCTGAATCGAGATGAGGGGGCTTATAGACTCTCACACATCTATAAACAGGATTAAAACAAAGCGTAAGCGAATCTGATTCATCATTTCGTACATGCATAATAACTAAGTGTACATATGCTTATAGCGTACCCAAATCGACATCGATATTATATTGCGAACTCGTATATATTTTACAACTTTGTGCGCATACGCTTTATGGTCATTTGTCTGATGCAGGTGACAGGGTACGCATCGTGCTTGTCACAAAAACGTCACATAGTAATTGGTTATGATGCATGTCTACAACTCATACTAATCAACCTGATGAAAATGTTTAGAAACTGAGCGACAACGTTTTCAAATATTTTGTGAGAACATAGAAACAATTTTTGTAAATGTATTACATTATACAGTTACGTTAATACATACCGACGTTAGGGCCCGGTTCTAAGCAGGCACTCGCTATGGTTGCATCAAGTTGGGCTTTCAAAGTCTTCACCTGTGCCTCTAGAGTGTGTATGGTGTTAGAAATGGTCGTGTAAGTGCTGGAAAAAACATACATATCCAAGCAACCCTGCTTGCTTGTCGTTCCCATAGAAACCACAGCGGCTAATAAAGCCAACTTGATCGAAAAGGAAGCCATCGACATGCTGTAATGGCCACGCAACACTTGAGACAACGCAATCGTAGGTGTAGCTTATATAGGCACAAGGATGCCTAAAGTGTTAAAAAACAGAGGAATGCCTTATCTATCAGCTAATTCTGAAGTGCAAGTCAGCATTGCAGTGCACGTATCCACTTTCCTTTCATGAAATCTGTCTTCACTATATATGCATACATTGTTTCCTAAGGGTGTAGCCATTACTTGAAGTGACCTGATCACGTAGATGGTCGTCTGTGCTCATCAGTTGTCACATTAAAGTTCTCTCTAATTTACGACAGTGTATATTTGCTATTTTAAAGACAGAAATCTTCATGGTTATTTATCAATCTTTCTTTATTGATCTCATTTAATAAACGAATATGGGGACATGCATATTCACTGTAGACAACGAAATAAGATAAAACCTGAACTCCTTTATTTTAGAGTTCGCGCGCCTATTCTATGCCAAATATAAATAACTAATCTTTAACTAGTTACAAATGTAGCGATAGTACAAAATTGTATGTTTAAGTTTTCAAACTCCAGCGTTTCAATTCTACTCTAGCTGCATGAAAACAAATGTGTCACTGTTTTGTTAATAGCTGTCGGTGCGAGAGTCAATAACATAATTAATGCCGACATGCCGAGACGAACTACACTTTCTCCAACAACCGCTTTAGGTGTTTGGACTCCTGATCCATTGGCAAACCTGCTGGATTGGTAAACAATTTTGGTTAAGGACAAAATGTGTCGTATATTGTTATTAACAAGTTTCAATCAGGTGATGAATCCTACTATATATATTTGATAAATAGAAGTTAATAAAGTATTAATTTAAAGTAGAAACAAACAGTATGGAGGACTTCTGTAATGGTCCCAGTTACAATTAAAACTTGTTATTTATTTATTCCACATATGTGTACCATGGACTAGAAACACTTTCTTAAGCAAAACAACGCTACTTTGCGTATGTCAACATTTTTTTATAAATTTATAAATTTTGCGTGTGGAAATGTTCGCATTATGACTCTTCAAACATATTGCGATGTGGACATTTTCGCGTTAGCAATGATTCAGAAATATATCAATCCTTTCTTTCTATAATCCATATATTAAAGTTCTTTTTACACAACCAATACATTTTCTATGTGACGTTTAGATGACTTGTACAATATGTACACTGTCACAATCATCAGACAAATGACCAATGAAGCGTATACACACAAAGGTGTAAAATGTGTACGAGTTGTCCATAAAATCGATGTCGATTTCAGCTACGATGTCATCGTAACGTCACATAGAAATGTGTATTGGTTGTGTAAAAAGATCTTCTCAAAATCCATACTTACCAACCTAAAGAAAATGTTTAAAAATATAATCCATATATCATAAAATCTTGAAATAAATATTCGCATGTGAATATTTTCGCGCTTATTGACTGAATAATGCAAACATTTCAACGAAGCAATATAATGTAAACTTATACAGTATATATTGATCTCAAATAGGTTTAACATTGACTTAAAAATCAACACTTCCTGTTGGTCAAATATTTTATTTATTGATCTCACATATGAAAGGGTGTTTCTCGTTACAGGCGACGTCACCCCACTCGTAGTTATTGTCGGCGTACTGCATCAGGAGACAGTCCTGGTCACCACCGACATTGTTAGGCTGGCCGGGGTGCCAGTCTGTGTACGTCACGGGAAGGTGGGCGCCCTGGTCAGTCCATTCGAAACGGCCTTCTACCCGCTCGTCGTTGCCACTCGTGTAAAAGCCATTCTGTCCGACAGCCTTCAGGCCTGGTGACATTTGAACATAATATACTGATAAATGGGATCTATCTCATATGCATTGAAAGAGAATCGAGTTTTTAAATGTTTGTAATCAGTTTCGGTGATAGGAAGAGGAAATGTTTTACTTTTCTTGAATGATTCATAAAAATTACAACTTTTTGCGGTATGAAGACAGAAAAATCTCCACTGTGGGTAAGATTTATAAAAAAGATAAAACGAGGCTTTGCCAAATGTTAAGAGTTTTACTATTGTTACAGCAAATAAAAACAACTCAAAAATAGACGGTTTTTTTCAAATAGAAAAGAATACTGTTTATTGTTTCGTTATCCTTTTAATTTTATTTTGTGTCAAAAGAAAACTAACAACAGTGTCATTTTTTTCCAACAGGACCAGAATAATGCTTTGCCTAAAAACTTACCTTGATCTGCGTTGATAAGGTTAATGAGGTACGTCTGTTCCTCGACACTGTTGATGGACACAAGATGTGCATTTCCGGCCTCTTCCTTACATGCTTTTGCGGCATCGTACCACGTGGCCGGAATCACGTGCACCATGTAGCAAGCGTTGGTTGATGAATTAGAACCGCCATGGTAAAGGTGGGATCCGGCAGGACAACTTGACATGTCTTAAACGAGAAATATGACCTTGATCTTATTCAAATTATGCAAAATGCATACAGAATTCAATTTTACGTGTGCTACCTGTGCCATCTTCTGTCTCGCAAACAAACATCGTTATTTGTACGAAGTAACGTCATAGCAATTTACAATTTGCCACATTGTGCTGCAAAACTTACGTTCCATTACAGTTATTTCGATTGAGAGAGTTGTAATTATACACGTCATTACTACGTCATCTAAATAATGATACCGGAGTGGTAGTTAAATAGCGATTACTTCGTCACCTGCCATTCTATCGACCGGAAGTGTTGTTTATCTACATGTCATTACTGCGCCACTAACCCTTATGTCGACACATGGACACGTCAGAAATACGCCAGTTACAATTATGACGACCGGAAGTATTTGATATGCACACGTTACACTTACATAAGTAACGGTTTTGTTAACCGGAAGTGATAGAAGATTACAAAACTACGTCACTTACCGGTATGACGATTGGGAGTGCTGTATATATACAAGTCATCACTTCGTTTCATACCGTTATGTTAACCGGAAGTGATTGAAGATTGTATAGCCATACCAACGTCACTTACCATTTCGACGACCTGAAGTGTTTTATGTAAAATCTTTACTTCATAATATACCATAATGTTAACCGGCTTACCTTTGGCACTTCCCGTAGCGTGGACCGAAAGTGTTGTATAAATAAACCTTCTAAATACAGTCACTCACCGTTGTGACGACAGGAAGTGTTGTAGATGTACACGTCATCAATGGCGATATCTCCCTTTTCTCCGGTATATGCTGTATATGAGTGACCACTTGAGTAGTGGGATGATTTTTGCGCGTGCGTAGTTGCCTCAAACATAAACTGAATACACGTTTCTGTTATCAATACAATTAACAAGTCGTCAAAATATTTTTGTTCATAACCACCCTGCCACATTTGACATATTATATTTCCTAATCTATGTGGTGTTTCAGTTTTAGAGATACTGCGAGGTATATAACGAAATATACAGAATTCGACAACTTGATAAAGTAGAAAATGTTATATTATCAAGCACATGTATTGCGAATGAGAAGTAGCAATATCAAACACACAACTTTATTGAGAATGAGACGCCCTGACAACAACATCTCTACAATTTAATGAAGTAAAGAGAACGAATTCAACACACCTCTTTTTTCAGAATGAAATGTATCGACGAATACATTAAGTAAAGAGAGTAATGTATCAAACTTATTTATTGAGAATGAGACGTCGCGACCAGTTCGTGATCCGAAGGACCCATACTTACGCTGAAGGAGTGGGAGGTATATTCGGAGTCGAGGGAGACTTCCGCCATGTGCCAGTTCCTGTCCACCTGCCCCGAGTGCACGTACACAGGGTTCCCAAGACCGCTTCCACCCGATATCTAACCGGAAACGAAATTTCATCAAAAAAGGCATGCTATTTAAGGCCATCAACAATGTAATTCCATTGAGTTTTTAAAATATATAAGAAGTATTCAGCTCATCCCTGAAAATCAATATCATGTAAATGGCATACATTCGAGTGTTTTGATGTAGACTTTCAACATGTAAAATTTGAGCTCTACATTTATGTATACATTATGTGTCTCGATGTCGGCCCCAACTATGTACATATTTATATGTTTTACTAGCCTATTATAATTTCAATGCATATAATATTTTAAATCATATTTTGCACTGCAATATCATTTTCATCCTAACAACTCATTAATATCAGTTTGAACTTATAACTAGCTACAGGTTTTTTTGTTTACGAATTGTATTTGATTGATTCCATTTGTAAACAAATAAATTCCTTGCGTGACAATGTGAAGACGCGATATAAAGACGTTGACAACGTGATAATACGACGGCGAGGGACCAATATAAGAGTCTCTCTGTCGCCGTCGTGTGCTCGCGTTGTTGCCGTCGTGTTCACGTGTTGTCATCGTCTTATTCTTGCGTTGTCGCCGTCGTGTTCTTGCATTGTCATCGTCGTATTCTCGCATTGTCGCCGTCGTGTTCTTGCATTGTCACCGTCGTGTTCTTGCGTTGTAACCGTCGTATTCTCGCGTTGTCGCCGTCGTGTTCTTGCATTGTCACCGTCTTATTCTTGCATTGTCACCGTCGTGTTCTTGAGTTTTAACCGTCGTATTCTCGCGTTGTCGCCGTCGTGTTCTTGCATTGTCACCGTCGTGTTCCTGCGCTGTCATCGTCGTCTTCTCGCGCTGTCGCTATCATGTTTGCGCGTTTTTTGGTTTGGTTTTATTTTGTTTGACGTCCTAATAACAGTTAAGGATATTTAAGAACGTGCCTCCGTGTATGGTGTGGATGCGTATATGCGTGTATGTGTTGCGGAGACACGGTTTGTTGGTGTTCTTGCCTCCTTGTGATAGCGCGGATCTGATGCCGACTTGGTAGTGCTATCTCACTGAAATGCCATGCCGAAGGCATCCAGCACAGCATTCCGCCCGGTCACACTTTACCGACTACGGGTGAACCAGTTGTTGCCATTACCTTGAATCCTGAACGTTTAGCAGGGAAACACTTCTACCATATTTGAGGACCTTGGTATATCCCTGAATGATATCTTCATAATTGAAGTAATCTCAGTATCAACATAGATACAGAAGTCCCGGTCTTGGGATAGAACCCATGCCTTCCTCAACCGGGCGAACGCTAATTGCTAATGCCAAAAGTGAGGTGTTGCCAAACAAGACGCTAGGAAATAAAAGGTAGTTAGAAGTAGAAAGAAAGATAAAGATACCAATTATTGCAATGGGTGCATCAGATTGATTTTGGTCGCTTTTGTGTCCCCAAATAGAGGAGATAAATGCAAATCCCCAATTCTGAAGGGATTCGCCCTTTAGTCGCCTCTTATCTTTACGCGTGCTTGTGTCGCACCCTTAAGTCAAGGGGAGCAAGATTGATTAATTTGCTATTCGGCACTACCCGGCTACCATACTTACTATACCTTGACATATCGCTACGTCGGCTATGTACCGTTTAGAGCCGACAGTTTGAAAATGGATATGTACTTTTTGGACTACACGTCGGCGTAGTTAAGTGTCGTGGTGCCAGCCCCGCGCGTGTATGTACATTTCTAGTTTTTTAAGTCGGCCCCATGAATGCATACATATCTTTTTCTATGTTTATGTATATGATTTATATGTGCTCATACCTTGGCGTACACATTGAGCGTTTCAATGTCCTTTCCGTACATGTTGTACCAGAATCTGAGGCAGTACCCAGTCGACGGGGTCAGAAGTGGTGACGTCATCCTGACGACATGCTGGCCACTGGAATAACTGGCCACTTGCGCCGCATCCAGGTACATGTAATGTCCTGTGACGATGAAACAATATATCAAAATGGTTGGCAGGTACATGTTTCTGTACATGTTTTTTTTTTAATTTCACCTTGTACTAACGACGAATTTGTTTAGTTCTTTATTTATACTGTAAATTACGTTCTTCTTTTTTTTAGATATTATTCCTTTTCGCATAAATTATATTGAAGTACGTGTATCAACTGTCAATTCTAGTACACACGAATCTTAATGCAATCATAGCCGAAGACATCGATGGTTAGTGAAACGCAATTCAATGAAATCACAATAAAGTCTTAATTTTAAATTAAATAAAATCTTGAAAATATCTCAAAAGCTGAAATGCACTGAAATCTTTAAATAATATATATTGCGTACCTGTAAATCTCAATATCAGTTATGATAAGATATACATCTTGAATAGTTTATAATTATTGAAAGATCACTCAGGCAATTTAACTATAAATTACGTTATCTTACCTGTCACTGACCCATAGGTGTGGTCACTCAGAGGGCCAGTGGTCGAGGAGACACTGCCTTTCCCTTGTTTCCAGCTTGTAGAACTACTTTCCTGTATAAATCCACATAAGTTATGATCCTCGAACCCACAGTAGATAAGGCGAGTGTCTGGTGCTAAAAGAATTCAAATAAACCGTTTAAATACAGGTACCAGCTTTGATATCTAACGCTGTTTCCAGCGTTTGAACCCTATTGTGCTGACAGGCGAAGGTTTCGACTACTGGTGTAGGGTGGCATCCTGTGTCTGACCTCGACATAGCGTCTTAAAAATGTAAAAACATTTATCTCGGATATTGTTGGTAAACTGGGTCTAGTCAATTGTGTTATAAGTAAGTAATTTCAGTAGAATTTTATTCAAAGCAACAAGAACGCGGGGTTCGACATTGTCCTATGAAAGAATTCGATCTTCTTCAGTCATTTAGACAGTTATGTATACTGTCCTTTCAGAGAAGAATTTCTGGATTTGTGTTGCCATATCGTAAGCCGTTTTCGAAACCTAATTATCTTTCAGGCAGTGTCGTTATAAAATAACCAACTTATGTCACCCGATATAATTATGTTAACAACACTGGACCACTGTCCGCCATTGTTTGCCGTAAAGTGTCACCGGTTCTTTGCTACAATTATAGTATAGTATACATGTTTACATTAACTTACCTGTGGGCTTAAGATTTATGATAATTACCTGTAGAAGCGTGGGTTCCCTGAGTCTGAATAGTCACCAATGCAGTTTTACAGGAACTTAGCGTTGTATTGGTCAGGGATAGCGCCGCCTGGAGCCTGGACACCTCTTTTGTCCTCAATTCCTTCTCCCCTTCTAATCGTAAATTTGAAGCATTTAGGGACGAGTCAGTAATTTGGATCTGTGATTGAAGAACAGTCTTCTCATGTTGAAGTGTTTGAAGCGTTGTTTTTTTAGCCTGTAGCGCGTTTATATTTCTGGATAATTCTGATGATATAGATTCGAAGTTTTGTTGGATTTTACGAACAGTGGAAGACAAAGAATCCACTTCAGTTTCAATTGTGTTTAGATCTGAGCATGCGCAGCTGGTGTCGCGCACAGAACGAGTTTTGGTTGTGTTGGCGCAATGGTCGACAAACACATCATACTGACATTGTCCGGAAAATCCACAAGTCTGGTCACCAAGGACGACAGCATAAGGAGCCGTCAGAAAGCAAAGCAGGGGCAAGACACTTCCCCGAAACATTGTATAGGCAGAGTAGAAATGATATGAAGCTTTCTCAAGGTCAGCGTGTCGCGTTCTTATCCTACTACAGACATGGTATAGCTTATCAAAACTAGTACTCGTAGACGTATCGTCCTCGGCTTACAGACATAGTAATGTAGTGCTAAACCTTTAAATGAGATAAGACACAACTACACACGACTAAGGTGTGTTTTGATATGGTCATTTTGACGTCACGGAATTTCGAAATATGCTGTCGTTAACTGAGTGCTTTATTGTTCATTTGCATATTTAATGTCGAACTTATTACATTCGTAGACACACAAATTGATTTTATTATTTTAAATATGTAACAATGCATTATTTACATAGGTTTCATGATATTTATCTGTTCCTTTAGGGAGGTTATAAAGATAAGGATTACATTAATCAATATTTGGTTACTTAGTTAACAAAACTGTAAAGCGAACGCCAAATTGATAAACTAGGGCAAACATAAACAAAGATTTCAATTATGGAAATCATTGACAAAATCCAAGTAAAATAAGTATAGAAAAACCAAGTGTTCCGGAAGGGAAAGCGATGCCACCCGTCATGTAAATCTGGGTCATATCAAGTAATGTGACGTCCTCATAGCAAGAACGGGGTAATGACAACAACACAACAAAGACAACTTATGGGCATTACCAAAAACATCAATCTTCATATCACTCAAATATATTACACCTTTCCCTGTGAGATCATGGTGGCGGCTATTAACTTATCCATACACTTCATCAAACTTGCACAGCATCACTGCTGGTGGATAAAGAATGACTGATTTTATCTCTTGCTTCCAGATTTTATTTGCCAAGACATTTCTGCTTAGAATTATACACAGAGAAACACGTCATAAGCGTTAAAGCAATCACTTGTGTTTTTTTAATAAATATAAGTTCCATGAATTCCATATCGCTCAATTTAGACAATAAAATCCCTGAAGGTTAATAAGCAGCATTGGCTTTGAAAGGAAAATTAATACGATGCCATTTTAACAAATATCTCATATACTTTTATTGCTGTAGCGAGTAACTTATACTATCTTTAAAAATGATTATATATGTCTTCACCTTTAATGTATTTTATACCATTGCCGACAACGGACTGTCAAAGCGTTGTTTGGCTAACGACCGTTTGTACCTAAATATTTTAGTTGTAATAGGTACAAAAAATGCCGTCACTAACGGCTGTTTGTACTTTATGTTGTAACATATTTAGGTACAAACAGTAGTAAGTCAAGTAACGTTTTGACAGTCCGCTGTCGGCCATCGTAATTGTAGCTATATTGACGATATTTTCAACAATACCTCACGTTTGGCCTTAATGTTAAGCGTTAACCCAAGTAGAGTAGGCAATAGGTTCCGTACCCAGGCCGGGACATACCAAAGTCCTTAAAACTGGTAGTTGCTATTCCCTGCTGGTCGTTCAGCATTGAGGGTAATGACAACAACTGGTTCACCCGTTTTCAGTATTTATGCGACCGGTTGGAGTACTGTGCTGGGTGCCTTCGGCATGGTGTTTCAGTGAGGTACAAGCTAGCACCATAGGCAAATGAACCAACATACCCTGCCTCCAGCACACACACACACACACACACAAACACACAAGAAGCACGCAAGCATCACACACGGAGGCACGTCTTTAAATGACCATATCTCTTGATAGGACGTCAAAAAAAACCCACCTAAAAACATTAATATTTTCCAATATAATGCTTCCCATGACATATTTTGGCAAATCCCATTTGAGACTTGAGACTTTGTCTCAGGTGACCTAAAAATCCTGATGCAATAACATTGATTCTAAACCGTTGATTGAATGGACTAATAGCTCCGTAAATAATAAGCGTTTTCTTGCATCTTATATGGAGCTGTTTATTTTATTCTTTTAATATACAACAATTTGATTGGGGTCAAATTTTAACAATATATAAAAGCCCTCTCCCTCTTCAATTTCAATCCGAATTTTTGTTTTTGTGTTTTTTAATATAAGTTTTAACTGATAAACTTTAAAGTGGAAATTCTCGCGTGTTGAAAATTTCACTCTTTAACTATTCAAATTGATCGCGAATTCGAAATTTATTTATAGATACATATTTGCGGGGGGATATTTTCGCACTAATTTACTCAACACGAGAAAACGTGAGCATTTTCACACCGCGAAAACTACCACTTTTACAGTAAGTAGAGAAAATAAGTTCAAACACACCAAAGCCATCATATTCTGAAATCATCACCGACATATTTTATTCAACGATTGATTGGCTTATACAGTAATTGACTCATTGAGTTAGTAATTGATTTCACAGATGTAGGGATGTTGAGTTTGGCAATCGACGTCGCCCCACTCGTAGTCGGCGGCCGGATATTCCATCAGAACGCAGTCCTGGTTACTCCCGACGTTGTTGGGTTGGCCTGCGTGCCAGCTGGTATAATTCACGCTATACGGAGTACCGGTGTCCGTCCAGACGAAGGAGCCCTCTGTCTTCTCGTCCGAGGCGCTGATGTAATATCCGGACTGCCCGGCCGCCATTAGACCTGGTGGTTATAGACATAAACAACGTCTTGTGAGGTGCGTACGTACATTTGTTAAACCATTTACTGATAAAGGTTATATCAAGGACAGTGGAATAACCGTAAAAGGAGTTTTATATATATTTCCGATTAACCAAAATGTTAATTTCACATTTCTGTTGGAAAATAACGATTCGTGCGGTGTGTTTTTGCCATTATAAGATGCAAGTTTCTGACATGTTATAAGCAACACTCGATCACACAAAAAATATAAGAAGAAACCATAGGTTATTAAGGAGCCTTTTTGAAAACTAGGAAATCCAACTTTCACCTGCTAGTACGTACCAATATCATTTTGAATAAGTTGAATAAGATAATTCTGGGTCTGTCCATCCGGAATCGTCATTAAATGCGCATGCGCCGACTCCTTCTTGCATGACTGACTTGCTGCGTACCAACTTAACGGCGCGGAGTGGAAGTTCACACATGACGTCACGTTGCCAACAGTCCGTTTGTATGAGGAGGGAGGGCATGTTGGGACGCCTGGTAAGAAAAAATGTATACGAAATGATGCTAATATCAATGTATTCATCATCATTTCATAAATATCATGATCATTATTATACTTTTTCATCACCATCATCATCTTCATTTCATAAGTATCATCGTCATCCTCATTCACTATTCCATCATCATCATCATCATCATCATCATCATCATCATCATCACATCATTACCAATATGATGCTCACACTCACTCTCACAAGCACACATAGAGAGAGAGAGAGAGAGAGATAGAGAGAGAGAGAGAGAGAGAGAGAGAGAGAGAGAGAGAGAGAGAGAGAGAGAGAGAGAGTGTAAAAAAAGGGAGAACATAGAACATAAAGAGAAGGGAGAACAGAGAACATAAAGAGAAGGGAGAAGAAAGGTATGATAAGTTGATAAGTTAATAAGATATTATATCGGTATCGCAGATTCCATGTATAATCATACCCACGAAAAGAAGCAGAAATTATAATATATATGATAGAGTACTTCTTCATAATAATAATAATAAAAGTAATAATCGGTTGGGGTTTTTTTTAAATGTATAACATTACAACTTTATTAGATTGTCCCATTTTTTCCAGTCATTTTCAAACTTATGTTTAACTTTTTCACCCTTACCATTAGCAATGTACTTTTGAATCAGATAGTTGTCTTTAATTATGTTCACAAGAGCGATTATGTTTAATGAGTTATGCGAACATCTCATTTTGTAAATATACTGCTTAATAATGATGATGATTTCATTATCTACTCGATTACTGGGAAGAAAATTCTGATGAAGAAGGCCAAAAAGAAAAGATTTTTTATTTACTGAAAATGGAATTAAAAGAGCTTCCGGGAATGTATCAAGACTTTCTAGTAATTTTTGTACTTCTTCACATTCCCATAATATATGAGTAATTGTTTCTGGTTCAGAGTTGCATAGTACACAAAGAGGGGAGACAACTACTCCAATTTTACATAGAAATGAGTTAGTCGTTAGTACATGATGACTCACTCTATACTGGAACCACTAAAGTCTTGTTTTTGTCGTTACACAGAATGACATTTTGTAGATTTTACACCAGGTTAGTTTATCCATGTTGTCGAATATAGTATTCCACTTTCTGGTACCAGATGGTATCTTGTCTGATTTGATTATGATGTTGTAAAACATTTTAGACCCTTTTAAATCTTTAAGAAAAGGTTCTAAGGTGATAGGTATGTATGGATAAATGATCTTATGTCTGTATGTATTATATGATGGAATAAAGTCTTTGACTGCAGAGACAAGACCTTGATACTGAAAAAGATGTGTTTACTCGGTATTTTTGAATAAATTCTACAAATGTGTAAAACAAACCTGTGCTAACCTCCTTTATTATGTCATTCAGAATAAAAATGTTTTTCTGATAGTATTTTCTGTAAAAAACAGTTCTTCCTCCTATCTTGATTTTACTATTATACCAAATGGGAACTTTCCAATATGTTTTCCTGAATTTTTTTATCATAATATTTTGCATTTAGTGTGTACCATGATTTGAGCACATCACCCCAGAATCTATTTTTACACTCATTTACACATATCTAAATATATTCAGAACCACAATTTGCAAGAAGATCTATGTCAATATAAGTTTTAAGTATGGTCTGCCATTTTTCAGAACTCTGATAGAGTTTTCTGATCCATGTAAGTTTAAGAGAGTTTATAAATGCAACAAGATTGATCATCTTCAAACCACCATCAGCATAATTTTGAATACTTATCTCTCTTTTAATTTTGTCTGGTTTTCCATTCCATAAGTAATCAAATAATATTGAGTAAAGTTTGTTGATAAATTTATCAGGTAGTGATATAAACAGGTGATTCACATTTAGCAAATTCACGGATGGCAGTAATACCCTATGGCACGTCGTCGTCTTATTTATCTTATAAGGAAAGGGCGTTAATAATGTTCATGTAACTTGTGCCCAATCCTCTTGCATTTTTTGGCAATAAAATATGTTTAAACTAAACGTCGTCGTCATGCCTTAACTCATATTCCGTTCCGTGTTGAATATTTCAACTGTGAATTAAAATAATTTTGGAGAGAGTTCAAGCTAAATTCCGTTTAAATGTTATACTGGACTTTTTGATCGTGTCACTGCATTAAAGCAAATTTAAAAAAGAACGTTAGTTTAAGCACAGCATCCATGCTTGAGCATGAGAACAGTTAAATTAATACGGTTACGGGTTAAGCAACACACTTGAGGATAACGAAAAAACTGGAGAGTTTGAGTGCTGTCTGGTTAAAATATACATATTAATTCATTGCTAACGGCATTTCAATCTGTACAAATGAAATGCCGCATGTCGCATGTACATGATCTCAAAGATAAATTCGTCGTTAAATAGACGAACCAGCATTGGTTGCAGCCATCTTGATACGATTTATCGGTATCCTCGGGATTTAAACACGCGCTATGATAAATCGAATGACCTTCCGAAATACAATTTCCGCTTTCAGGATCAGGAAAACTGAGATTTTATATGCTGATTTCAAATTTTCCTGCACCGTCAGATGTTAATGCTGTAGGTGGTAAAGAGCAACGGCGGGTTGCTATGCCTATTTCCCCAATGGTATGATCCGCTGTAGTGCGCGCTTCCAACTGTGCACTGTTATGACGCGTCCTCAGGTATTTCTATACAGGTAGCTCGATCGGAATCCCGTGTCTAAGAATAGATTATTGTAAACAGACGAAATCAAGGCTATGGCTACTAATATATGCGTATTTCGCGTTATGCTGTATAAAACACAAGATCGTACATTCATTACCAACAAGTTTGAAAGGTTTTAGTTTTCATTACTACTGCTACGTCATGCTGTTACTTGTTTTTTTAAAAACAAACATCTTGATTTTGTTCTTTTTTTAACTCGGAATGATAACATTACAGATAGTTTTCGAAAAGCTTGTCTTACACGTATATTGCGCTCCTAACTTTGTGCGGCAGTCTTCCTGCATTTAAAACAAATGAGACTGGCCTCGACGATGAATTTTCCCACATGTTCGGTAATATCTTTTCGATAATAGCACTTCATTTTTTGTATTTCGGCATCGTTTGTTTGCGTTAAGATAATAAATAAAAATACTAATGCCAATTTGTTGACAGGATTCCATAGAAGATAAATCAATAGGTATGTTATTAAAATATCAATACAATGTTCTATTGATTTGAAAAATATTTATCACTTAATTAAGGAAAATGATCACAAGCCTAAATATTAAACAAAAGTAAAACAAACAAAAAGTGAATCTGAATGTGAATTCGAACCTACACTGTTTACATTTTCTGGTCACAAGCTAACTGCATTACAAAGTAGGCTTCATCGGATAAAGACAAAAAGGGAAATACGAACTTCTTTAACCCAAGAAACATCTGTCGCAGTTTTAAAAACTTGATCAACCCAGTTTTTCATTATTTTGAGCCCTTTCCCAAAGGAGAACCACTTTTCCGTCATAGAATTTGTTTTTTCATATTACATCACGGAATCAAAATGTTTATTCAAAAGTTGGTCCTCGGATGGGAAAGTATTGAAAGTATTTTTTTAAGTCTGGGAAACCCCTTCACTTTCATAGATATAGTGAATATGGCTATATTTGCAGTATTTTATCAACAATACCGAATATCTCAACAGTTCAAAAATTCATATTCAATTGGTTTTTTATCTATTCCATGCATTTTGCTACTAAAGATTATTTACTCATCAATATTTTTTCCGTTTTCAAAAATGCCGACTTCGGGAAATACGGGCAGTTTTCCGCCATACCTCTTTACATTTAAGTTATATCCAGATTAAATTTAGCACTCTAAAGGGCCCTGTCCCATTGCACTTTGGTTTTCCCTATATACAGTAACCTCCTTTTAACTTCCATTGGGATAAAACTGTTGCCGAGTTTGGCCAGGACACTTTTATTGACTAGGTAGTTCATTCGGTTAGAGCGATAGTATAACAACCTGAAGTCCTGGGTTCGAATCCCGGTCTTTTACACTGAGTACACTGTTGTTGATTTATAATTTCTTTATTTCATAGCTATTATTTCTCATAAAAGTCAAGCTAGGTATGAACTTCTTCAGGAATACTTTATCAAAGCTATAGTCATGCCGAAACATTTACCATCGAATGGCATTGGAATTAAATACCCCTACCAAATTCAGTTGATATTCATATAGGCTATGAACCGATTGTTGACGTTATCATTAATATGACGTCAAAATAGTTTCCTTGGATACTACTGACCATCCCCGGCGATGGCCGTCTATTCATTGAACAAGCCTACATGCTGCATACATTATTCCAACTTAATGCTTACTAAAAATAAGTGTAATTGAATTATTATTTTTCCAAAAAAGTAAATATAAGTATTGAACTGCTTTCAGTTGGCATTTATAGGTAGTGTGAATGACAACTGGACAAAGGCAAATTCAATGAAATGCGCTTATGCTTAAAAAAAATGCGGTTACAGTTTCGACAGTGGTACGGGGATCCTTAAGGGTAACGGACAAGTTTTAATGGCATAACCTTTGACCTACTATTGCACGTTGTGTTGTAAGCGTAGAAGTCGTCAATGGCGATGTTTCCGTTCTCCTTGTGGTAGACATATTGATGTGAACCGGAGGACGAAGAGTAGACGTACGACCTGTAGGAATCAGTGGAGGCCTCGAACACAATCTGTAACGATATCCGATGGGACGACACCTTCGATAATAATAATCAATAATATATAACATTTGATTACTCTAATGCGCTTTACAACACACGAGTTATAGTGTTCCTACAGTGAAAATTACAAATATAGTAGATGAAAAAGACAACTAAATCAGCATTTTACATCAGGTACATTACTTTTGCGCAAAAGAGCCTAAAATAGGACGTTAAAAGGTGGGTCTTTATATCCTTATTGAATTTAGTCACTCTGGTTTTAGCATGGCATCAAAGGTTAAATTCAAAATTCTTCAAGGAACATCGATTAGTAGTGAACCTAGTTTTCTTTAACACTAGTTTAGACTTATTGAAATTTACAACGTGTTGCACCGAGTCCTAGAAGGCCGAAACAACTTCATGGTGCAGTGCCATTCAATTTTGACATAATTGTAATAACATTTTATATGTGCAGTCACATATGTGTGCTTTACGGTCATCCGTTCAAAAGTAGAGTGTTTTACTCACATGATATTTGCCAGCTCATTGCATTATAGCATTCCGACTCTAATTCTGACGTCACTTTAAAATGAATTGTCTTAAAACTTAAAACGGTAACATTTAAACAGGCTATGAGTCCATGCAACCATTTTTGTCATACTGCAAACGAAAAATAGGCTCATTGCACTGGTTTATAACTCGGGTGTCATTCATTTAGTTAGGTAATATGAAAGTGTGAATATCTAGCCAGAGTTGTCGTTCCTTACAGTGATTGTAAGGAACGATAATTCTGAGTAGAGATTTAGGCCGATAGTGTCTTTCAAAAAAAGAATAACCAACAAAAATTAGAATAACTCCCTTTGGCACGCGTGTTTATATTGACTTTCCATAGAAAAATCTCTTGTAATCATTTTTCATGATATTGATAAACAATAATGAAATTCTGTTAAAAAAAAAACATTTATCACACAATATAAAATATAGACATATAGATCGTCCTTGACCTACATTGAAGTCGGTTTTGGTGTACTCGTCGTTCAGGTCTATTTCCGCCAGATGCCAGTCTTGTCCAAGGTTGCCCCTCCTGCTGAATATAGGGTTCCCCAATCCGCCATTCACCTAGTAAATGATAACATATATAAACAAATTATTCCTAATACATTGCAGAAGGTTTGGTATACAAATATTGGGGTTCCTTATGTAGAACAGCAAATACACCTGAAAGGAAAATAATATATTTTTTGTGTAATGAAAAAAAGGTATATTTTCAAAATATTTGGTAACATACGGCAGGGTCCCCCGTCTGAAATCCCAAAATAGTAAGAGGGAAAGACCGGGGTAGTGGGACGAGTGATGAAGCGGTAATTCTTTCAAATGTACACGACTGCAAATCCCACGTAAACCGATTCCGTAAAATTTAAATTAATTCTTTTCACATGTAAAATCGATAATTTCATAAAAGATATTTATCTTTAGCAAGGTGATATTTGCAAATTTTAATTGTTTTACAGTAGTATTTCGTTTTAAAGGCTAAATGTGTTTTTTTCCATTCATGTCTGAAAATCCTGTATATTCGAACAGTTTATCAACGGGTTTTTTTCTCAAACCTCTTTGGACATTTGGTGATATGGTGATCCTGTAAGCGTAAGAGTATCCCTTGACAACAGAACATGGTGCCGCAAAGCATCCTGGGAGTTTTCCGCAAAGTATCATGGGATACTCTGATATTTACACTTCTTTATAAACCAACCACCTGTTTGGTCTAGCAAGGCTAATGAAGAAGAAACAATGATTTTTTGAACGGGGAAAATAACATGAATGCTTAATAAAGGTCGCAGCCGATCGTATGTGTTGTACAATACCTTTGCGTATACTTTGAGGTCCTTAACGTCGGTACCATACATGTTATACCAGAACTTGATGCAGTAGTTGTTAGCACTTTTCATTATTGGTGAGACCAAGCGGAAGTGGCGAGTGTGTTGAGACGATGACGTTTGAGTTTGGGGGTCCATCGACATGTAATAACCTGGAGGTAGAAATCAGAAGATATTCCGAACAGCACGGAAGTAGTATTTATACATCGACACGTAATAACATGGATGTAGAAATTAGAGGAGATTCCGAACAGCACGGAAATAGTGTTTATACATCGACATGTTATAACATAACATGGAGGTAGAAATCAGTAACATAGACCTAAGTCCTTTACCTGATGTAGTAAATGATATAGATACATGTATGTAAGTGTTTTACCTGACGGTGACCCGTATGTATGATCCATCTTTGGTCCCGTGGAGAAATGTAAGGTGCCCTTGGAGAAGAGCCAGTCCCCATCGTCACCATACTCCTGACGAAAGCCGCACAGGGAGCTATCCTGGAACGGACAGTAGAAGGTCTTGTATTCCTCATTCATCGCTGAAAAGGATAGCATTGAACAAAACCATTACTGCAAAAGTACTTATTTTAGCGGACCCAAATTTTAGCGTATCATCGAATTTAACAGATTAGTGCTTTGATGAATTTGTTCACGCACAAAATAATTAGATACAAGTTTATTTAAGCAAATTCAACTGTTATCGGTTGACAAGTTAGCTCATTATGGAATTGATGCACTTACTATATAATTTATACACATATTGTAAGGTATTATCGAATTGTAATAGATAACAGCATTGAGGAATCGGAACACTAACAATATATCAAAGAGAAAAGTAAATACAGAAAGTTCAGTAATCGCAATCATTATTTAACGCACTATTTGAAGTGCGGCATAAGCTAAATTAGAATTCCGCTAAAATATGTACGTTTACAGTAACTATGACGTTAAAAATGAGGGGATGTTTAAGGATTGTTCTGAGAGTGGTTGGGCCATGCATACCTACGTTACTGCATGGGCAATGTGATATAACATTACTTACTTGGCAAAGATGTGTGGCCATTGGGATTGACCACTCCTTGACACACGCTTAGATCCCTGGTAGCGTTCTGAAGCTGTTCCCTCATGCTCTTTATCTCCGCTCCAGCCGTGTTCAGGACGCTGGCTAGCTCGTGGTCAGTCTGGTTCAGGGCGACCTCCTTGATATGGAGTGTAGACAGCAGGTCGGCATTGCCTGTGGTTTCTGTTGTCACCTGTTGGTTAGTCTGAGCGAGTTCAGTCTTTGTCAAATTAAGTTGTTTATATAACTGGTCGACTGCCTTCTGTAGCTGGGACACCGTTCCCTGAAGTGTCGCCAGGTCGTTCTTAGCGACCTGGACGTCATTGCACGTGCAGTCGCCACCGTCAAGATGGCCACTTGCGCTTGGAGCAGCACTAGCCGCATGTTGGACGGAGTCGCACTGACCCTCATGTCCAAGCTTGACGTTGTAAACACACTGACCATTAAAAAAACTACATCCCGGGGTGAAAGCCGAGTTGACTACGTGTAACACGAGGAACAATACCAACACGGCACACTGTACGGTCGCCATATTGAATCTGGTACAAAGTTCTCTAGCACCACTATCAATAGTCGCGTTCTGGTAAGAAAGGTCACCTAGTTTGATAAGGATTGAATTGGAACGTATGGAAGGTGAAAGATCTACTACGTAAGTGATATCAGTTTTTCTTTGACACAGAATATCTTGTGAAGTTTTGTCTGGATCAGCTAAACGCTATTTGCATGGCATTATTCTAAGACACGAAAAAGTACTAACATCAGACTAACCTAGTTTGGAAATGACAAACAATATGTAGATGGTTTTACAATAATGTATCACGTTGAAACAGATTGTGATAGCAATACACTTTTATTACGATCGTCATCTGTAGTACGTTTTGGAAAAACTGTTCCTGTCTTTGATGGTTTAATATCTCCTTCCAGTTTTATAACGTCACACTCATTTAAAAAAGCCAGCCTCGTTTCCATTGTCGTTTTATAATGCTCATTAGTAGCATTTCCTACTTTCTCTGTAATGTCCTCGTTAATATATTCAAGTTCCGATAAGTTATTTTTGATATGTCGTTTATCAACATTAAGCCTCACTTCCGGTTTTTCTGCGTACTCGTTTACTGAATAGAGACTAGCCATACAACAGTTCTCATGTGACGTCATACTTATTTCATCCTCGTCATCTTCTTTTAAAACGCTTAAATTCGTCCTGTAACTTCTCAAATTAATACCATGGAAATTATGATGTCTAAAAACTCTCATAGATAATTTTTTATGAGTTTTTCTGTTCCATCGAGAACTGTCCTCATCGTCCGTTGATACAGATGGCGACCTTTCTCCGCGGTAAATTTGTCCTCTAGTCCTCAATGGGGATATACTTTGTTTTGCGGCAGGCATTTCACAACAGCCTCCAAAACAGCACATCACAGCTATGATTACAATCGACACTGCGGAACAAGCGAATATGAGGAAGGCCAAAAGGCTCGGTTGGTCAAGGAGCAGGGCAGAATGCTGATCGACGGTAACGTTCATCCTAATGAACGCTTGCGCACATACACTTTATTGTTATGAACATCTTATATACGTGTTTGGGATCAAGACGCTCGCCTCGAGAATCTAGAAACATCGAAAAGAGAGAAAAACATTACCCCAAAATATTTATGTTATGTTGCTTTTCAATACTTTTGTTTTCAATATTAGGCCTACTCGATTTCACTCTCAACCATTGTTTACGACAACTTTTGAACAATTCAAAATTTAAAACCGATGTTGACCTTGATTCTTGACATTAAACATCAAATTTTGAACAGTTGTTGAACAACGATACCTGTTTTAAACTTTGAATATCGGGACAAAAAGTCATCAAAAGATGTTGAAAATAAAGAGTCTCGAACAACCATCTTGAACATATGTTTAACGATGATACTTATTAAGAAAATGTTTGAACAGTCATTATTGTTTTAGCATCAAACATAAAGTTTTGAACAGAAGTTGAACCATCATTGTTTAGTATAAGTTGAACATTAATAAGTCTTGAAAATATATTAAACTATAATAACATCCATTTGAACCATAAATGTTTTGTTTGTAAATGTTTTAAATAAACCTGTATTTCTAAAATAAACGAGAAAGTTTACAATAAAAACTCGTTAATTTGTCATTCTTTGTCCAGGCAAAGGTTGGCGGTATAAAGCAGTTAACCAATGTATCGAGGGACTCGTACAGAAAACAAAGGTAAGAAAATAGGGAAATGGGACATTGAAATACGTTGGGGGTTAGTGAGGAGGCAAATGAAAGGATGGGGCGTTGTTGTATATGTACATAAGTAAACTTAAACAATTAACTTAACGACTCGGTTCGATTTCGTGGATTGATTGATTGATTTCCTTATAAATTTATTGATTTGATTATTGATTGATTGATTGATTTGCTGACTGATCGATTAATTTATTTGCTTTTCAATTGATTTGCTTAATAATTAATTTGCTTATCAATTGATTTGCTTAATAATTAATTTGCTTATCAATTGATTTGCTTATTGATTGCTTGATTTGATTGATTGATGCATTTGCTTATTGATTGATTAATAAGACACGTTATATGTTGCAGAAAGAACAATAATCGATAAATTACAGGTATTTCAAGTCTTATTCCGTGATAAATGAAGACGGCAATGTCTTCGAAGTATGGCTTTAGTTTTCATGACCGACCATTGTCACAGACTTGCTTAGTAAAGGGCGCTGTGTCAATGGCAGGTCATTAACAGGAGCGGTTATTGTATTGGTTATGTCTGTATGATGTCCTTGCATTGTTAATAGGCGTTCATAATGATGGTCACGTGGCACGTAGCACGTGTTCTTTTTTTGTATCAATATTCTGCTGCTTGTTTTTTACTAGCGTAACACATTGATCATAGCGTAGATAATTAATACTAAGCCAAATATACATGGTTTTGAGGACAAACAAAAGGTTGTGAAATATTGAACAACATCAAATTTGAATAAACATCATGTGGTTGAACAAGTTCTCGCATAGTGTTGTTTGTTCTAAAACAACACTATGAGAAAAGTTATTCAACCACACATTTGAATATACATATTCTTGTCGAATAAAAACAAATGTCTGAGATATTGATCATCAACCAATCTGACTAAATATGAAAGCTTAAGACAAAGCATTTGTAAGATATTCGACAACAAATTTGAATACACATACAAAGACAAATACAAGGCTGTGACGTGTCCAACATAAACTAATTGTAATGTGAATATACCATTGAACAGGCATTAACAACACAGCCGTTGAACAGTCAAATGTCACGACTGACGTTTGCAAGGTAAATGTCGCCTGAACAAAAAGATAATATCTTTATAATATCGTGTCTGATTGGATGATACTAGTCACATGACGGGTCAATAAATCGTCATGCCTCCTTCAGACGCTCAAATTTCCCCGATCATATTTCCCATATTAGGCCACTCCCTAGAAAAATCTACAAGAGTCACCACAACCTAGTGCCGAACGACGGAAGAAGACGACAACAATGGCGCGTCAATCTAATCGTCTTCACTACTGTGTTCGCTTTTGATTCACGTATTTGTTTTAGGTATAACATATGTATGGCCTACTGTGAGGGCAATAGATGTAAATTAAACATAGAGAACTTGAACAGCCATACAAACAGTTGTTAAACAAGGACGAGTCTGGATAGGTCTGACGCCTTTGGATATCTTTTGTGCACCAATGCTTCTGAACAAAGTTTGAAACATCAGATTGGGGACAAATGCCGACTATTTATCTCTAGGGTGACAATATTTTATCAATGAAAAATATATTACTTTCATCGTAGGAAAACATATACTACATATCACACTTTTGAAATTGACAGAAAGGAAATGCACTAATACAATTTGTTAAACTGACTTACTCTAGGTGAAGAAAAAACAAAAATAGGTGAAAACAATATCTTTTGTAGTTGATATGAGTGGTTTTTCCGCCAGTTTCATAAAATGTTAATTGGAATTCTTTTGTGGTTGAAAGATGAACGTAAGACACATACATGTGACTGCACTTTATAAATTAGGTAAAAGGTACAGTATGCCAAAAAATAAGTACACTGTACCATACAAGATTCAAATTGGTTTAAAATACTGTTAAAACAGAAGGGGAGGTGCATAATATCCCTTAACTATTAGTATAGGAATTTTAGCAATTAAAGGTTTGGTTGAGTTTGATTTGGTTTAGTTTTGTTTAAAGTCCTATTAACAGCTAAGGTCATTTAAGGACGAGCCTCTATGTGTGTAGTGTTCTGTATGAGTTCTTGTGTGTGTTTATGCAGGAGACAGGGTATGTTGGTGTACTTGCCTCCTTGTGATAGCGCGGATCTGATGCCGACTTTATAGTGCTATCTCACTGAAATACCATGATGAAGGCACCCAACACAGCTTTCCGCCCGGTCACGTTATACTGACAACGGGTGAACCAGTTGTTGCCATTCCCCGAAATCCTGAATGTTGAGAAGGGAATAACAACTACCATTTTAAAGGACTTTGGTATGTCCCGGCCTGGTGACAAAACCCCTTGCCTTCCTCACCTGGGCGAACGCTCAACATTAAGGCCAAAGGTGAGGTGTTGCCAAGCAAGGCGCTAGGAAATAAAAGGTAGTTAGAAGTAGAGGGAAATATGAAGATCCCAAATAATGTAATTGGTGCAGCAGATTTATTTTGGTCGCTTTTGTGTCCCAAAATAGAGGACACCAAAGCAAATCCCCATTTCTGCAGGGGGTTTCGTCATTAGTCGCCTCCTACGATGCATGCAGTGGGTAACAGCCGGTGTATTCTTTTCCCGATCCCCCACCTGCAGGGGTGTAGCAATTAAAGAAATATTTGTTAATTCTATATCTATATTGAGCAAAGTGTTTATATAATTAAGTCATTCACCCCTGGAGAAACATTTAAACGCTTCCAATTCAAAAGTTGGAATAGTTCATTATGAAACTTCAGGGGGAATGAGATATCCCTGTCATTGTGTGTATCCTTTGAGCTCTGATTGAAATTGAGTGACAGTAGTAATAGTTTAACATATGTGTTGTTAATGTCATTTCAATCAAGATTGATCTTGATTGATACGTCATTAATAAATGACATTAACAACACAACAAAGTCTCCATTATTATTTAGAATCCTACATATGATCTAACAGCAAACTAGCCGTGGTATCTTTGCTCGGTTTCAGAGATGACATAAATGACATATATGTAATTAGAACGTTACCGGTCGTATATTTCGTTTACATCATAGCAGAGCAAGCACTGTTATCTACATTGTAGACCAATGGAAGTTCATCTTTCATACAGTTACGTGCCATTAGTCCAACAATGTACATCATTCTCACTATAGATACTGAGTTAAATTCCGATTTCAATACAATTTTATGACTTTATTTCTCGTCCGTAAAGATAATATAATATTTTAAACAATAGAGAGTTAATTTTTGACTTCATAAGTGTTGGGTTCCTGGACATAGAAATCACATAAATAATATTAGTCGATTGGTCACAATGAAAATTGCACACATACTTATGTATATATTTTTTTTATATAATAAC